AAACAAAAACAAAATCAGGGGAGTTCTGCAAAACATGGACAACAGCGCCCCCTAGTGGGAAATAATATATTGAGATTTCACTAAAAGTGGAGCATTGAGAGTGTGATTGTGGCAAACTTAAAATGGCAATAAAAATTGGGAGTAATTGAGCAAGAACAGCCCCATAAAACTGTCAATATAAGATATAGTGCTGGCAGGGGGAACACTAGACCAGTGTTAACTGGAACTCAGCTGCTGCCAGCTGAAACCAGAGGGGCACGGAGCTTGGAGCAGCCAGCTCCTTCCATCAGCAATAAAACACAAACTGGAATCAAAAGAGGGGAAATAAAAGAGAAGAGAAAAAAGACCTGGATGGGTGATGCATTTTTCATTAATATGACTCAATTCACAGGCAACGGTCCTGGTGGGAGATTTCTTCCATATGCGCCCGCTGCGGGGCGCCATGGAGGCGCCAGGCACGTGCTGCAGAGGTTTATGGTCCTACACGCGCTGTGATTGGCTGCTGGGCCTGGCAAGAGTTGGAGCTGTGGGCCAATAGGAAGCCTGAACACTGATCTCTAGATTCGATTGGTTCCAAGCAGATGTCACTCAAGCAGGAAAGAGGTCTGGAAGCGAAAAAAGGCCAGTCGAGTGTTTTTCTCCATGAGGGATGGAGCTCCGCGCGCAGTCTCACACACACACACACACACACACACACACACACACACACACACACACACACACACACACACACACACACACACACACGCACACGCACACACACACACACACGAGAAAATATCCTTGATTTACATGATTTTGCAAGTTTGAAGAACAAGAGTACACAAATTAAATATTTTAAAATTACATTTAATAAAACATATGTATATATAAGCCTATCTATGTTCTTCCTGTTTCTCGCTGTAAATAAACTAGTTTTGTTCTCGTTTAGAAGAGAAATAAAAAAAAACAATATATGTTTTTATTAGAAAAAATAATTTTGACATTAATTTCCTCGTTTCATAATTTCTATTTTAATATTCTAGAACAGCAATAAATAAAAGTTTATATGGGTTTTTAAGTGTATAGCCTATTTTAATACAGTCATTTCTCATATTTCTATAATCTATCCTGAAATAACCACAGTGATTTTTCTGATTTGTGTTACAGGGACAACACTGCGAAAATAATTAAATATACCCAAATATATTAAATATTGGTCAAATTTTGCTTTTTAATCCATTTTGCGCGAGAAGAAAATGTCTACATGTAAATTAATTCCCTCTAAAAAATGAGACCATTTATAGTGAAAAAATGATTAAACGTCGTAATCACCTGTGCAGACAGGACCTGATTCTACTAATTCCGTCGAGCGCCCTTGTTTCGGAGGGACCAAACTGCGCATGTACATAAACCTGTCTACGTCACAAGCAAACCCACCAATAGGCTCAGTCCTAGAAGGAACACGTGGTGGTGATTTAGGAGCTCTCTCTCAATAAATCTGTCTGAAGTTCACAAAGTTGATGCAAATGAATTTCGAATCGTTGTTGAGGATTAATCAGGCGCCCGTTGTAGAACCAGCGGCACCGTTAAAGCCTCCAGAACGACTTCCGGTTCGGATTGTGTAGATTTGGGTTCAGTTCGGTCTGCAGGTCCATCCGGCTAAGGATATTTTTCTTTTCATCAGTCGTCCGTGACTCAGATGCAGCGTTTAGGCTCTTTTAAACCCAGCGGTGGATTAGCTGTGGTTAAAGGATTCATCCGAGGCTCTGATCAGATCAGAAACGGTTTTAAGACTTGATTTCTGTTCTCTGATAGCTGTATGTGGTGGAAACGGTCCAGCCAGGTTTAGATTTGTTTGTTTGATTATGGATAATACTTTCTAGATTTCTTTACTGGCTAACGGGACATAAATTGTACTCAATAGCTTTAGACCGCAGTAGTCTCTCACGGACTGTGGTTACACCCAGGCCGATTAATGTCAGCGTTGTCTTTATTCGTACAGTTTTAATCCATTGTAAAGGTAATAAAAACAACGTAAATGCCAAATTCCCTAAATCCGTGCTCCTTACACAACAAAACCACTCAATCAGAATCTTAAATCAACCGGAAATAACATTATAATAACACAAACAAGTCCTGTGGCTTTGTTTGATTGTATGTGCCTTTTGAAGTATTTATTTTACTTTGCATCGTTTCAGATGTGAGACAAATGAAATCACATGCCTGCAGTTGTATTTATTGAACAGCAGGGGTCGCAGTGGATCACTAACTGCAGCCTTGTGAGGAGAAGCGTCAGAAGATTCCCAACTGGCAAATGCAGCATTCCTAATAGAACACCACTTTTATCATCGCTGGGAACCGAATTAGGAACAGAGTGCTTAAAAAGTCTATGTATTTTGCTTATATTCAGTTGGATTTTTTTGTTATGTTCAAACGTAAATGAAAAAGGATGCAAATATAAATCAAGTAGAAAAGTATTATCATTTAAAAAATTTAATTAGACCATCCAGCTCAGTCAATGTTCAATGAGCAAAACACATCAGTTACAGATCAAATAAAACATGCAGACATAACAATATCAAAGTATTATTCGGTCGGAACTGCTTAGTTGAGATGCGGCCCCCGCGACCCGGATAGGCGGAAGAAGACAAGATCATCTTTGGTTTAGGAACATTTTATTAAATATTTATTATAATATATGATGAGCAAGCCCTTATTTAATAAGGTAAAACCGAACATTTACTAACAAAAGTAAACTTAAAGTATTTATTTCTAAGTAAGGGAGTTCAGAAAACGACTTACTGACGTAACTATAGCAGAATAAACGTTTCTCCTCCTTAAAGAAATGTTTTTGCTTGATGTGCATTTTTATTCATTCCTTATGCAGGAAACTATTTATTATGTGGGATTAGTGAGATCTCATAAACACAAAACAAATAAACACAAATACATTCCTGTTTAAAGCAAGGCTCTTCAGCGCTGAGCGTGACAGAATCAAATGGTTGCTTATGCACAGTCACACAGGGGGTTCTTATGTGTAAAATACCAAAAACCAAAGTTAAAGGATCCCATTTTATTTAACTTGGTGAATTGCTCCTGCATGTCTTAAAAACGAAACTAAAATAAGCTTTTACTTTCATTCAAAGTGAAGACGGACACCGCAAATGCTTTAAGAGCTGCAGCCCTGGGTCTCTTTTTAATTCTTTGTAACAAGTCAAGGCTGTCTGTCTGATAAAAGCCAGCTCAGGCCTTGGATGACAAGGTGTCTGCACACCAGAACCAAACAGATAACATTATATCAGCTCTTTGGTTATGCCACAACCTTCATGACTATCACTTGTTACCACGACCCTAAACGGGAAGCGTTAAAAATAAAAGCAGGCATGAGTAATAAAGTGTGTGTCTCGTTCTTATTTTGTCTTCTGGTGTCTCTGAATCTGCAGCAGTCAAGATAAAGTTCATATGAAGGCTGAGAAATGAAAGGACTCATTTGAAGAATGCTGATCAGAAACCTTCATCCGTGTTCAGTTGTCTGTGGCCTATGGTGTTGCTGTGGTTACCTTGGGACACCATCAGGACAACTAATGACTCAAAGCAGGTAGATCCAGAGACTGCCCTGATCAATTCAACAAAAGCTGCAAAGATCCACTATTGCACCATTTCTGATGAGAGAACCCAGGGTCAGGAGAAACACCAATGAAGTTGCCAAACTCAACATAATCAGTCTGAATGGAGAAATATTTATCTCTTATCGGCAGCAATCAGAGCTGTTCTGTCACCTCTAACACCTCCAGATGAATGAAAACTAAGTGGAATATGATAAAACATCCAATCAGCTGGTTATTTCGTGTGTTAAGGTAGAAAAAAGTGCAAAAAGTATGTTACTGATGACTGTAAAGTCAGTCTCCCACATCACCATGGAGGACTTTTGTCCAACTCTTCTCAGCAACAGTGTTTGAATTCAATCACATTGGAGGATGTTCTAGAATAATGAGCCTGTTTAAGGTCAAAGGTCAGAATTTGTTCTCCAGGATGTTCTGCTAGAGAGCAGAATTCAAAGTTCCATCAGTTATTGCAAATGGTCCTGAAGCAGTGCATCACACTACCACCACCATGCTTGTCTGTTGCTATGGTGATGATTTAGGGTTGGTTTGACTCCAGATGGAATTCACACACCTTCCAGAAAGTTCTGCTTTGTCTCATCAGTCAGCAGATTATTTACCTGAAACTTTTGAGATGATGACAATCTTTGTTGTCAATGATAGATGAAGCTTAGTGTTCTGATTTGGAACTCTCCTGTGGAGATTTGTTAAATCTTTGACCTTAACAAGTGATGTGCTGAGTTATGTTTGTCTTGAGTTTTCTTACATGTGTTGTTTTTTGTGATCTTGCAGCCTGTTTTCTATTGGAGACATCTTCTAATTAGGTGATTTATTGACTCTTGATGTAGATGAGGGGGCTTGCTTTTGTTACAATAAACCTGTCATCTGAAACCTGCACAATGTGTTTATCTGATTCTCAAATGTAATTTCTGATCTGAACCATTTAAAAGAAAAAAATAAAGACAGTGAAATTTTGTGCTGGGCAAATACTTTTGTTTCCCTCAGAATTTCATATGAACTCTTTGCTAATCAAATCACAGAGACTAAATATATATGTATATGTATACAGCTGGATTCCTGTTGTTGATCCAAGTTCAGAATGCAGTTGAACCACTCACCACTAGGCTTTAGGAGAACAAAGCAGGTGACTTTGGCAAAACTAAGCAAATAAATCACTTTTGACTAATTTAGTTTTTAAATTACAAACATTTTTTTAATATTGATATTTTATGTATTTATAGCGTGATATTAGTCTCCCCTTCTTTGTTGTTACGGAAGACAACATGAACATGGAGGCGGTCCTTGCTCCAGTTGTGGACAACTTTTCCGTGCTCTGATTGGACAGAATTTCTTGACAGCCAGTTTGACCAATCACCTCTTGTTTTGGTGATCACTTTCGTCCAATGAGCGTAAGCTATAGTGATTCTTAAATGTGTTGGCACGCTTGACGTTGACAGGCTCGAGCTGCTATCTTTAATTTTCTGTTTAATTCTGTACATCCGGAAGATTGTCGAAGCGAGGTTGCGTCCACGGCAGACGTATCCGTTTGACGGTATCAAGGAGCGCATAGTTGGTGATGTTAGGTCTGGGTTAGCCGGTGATTTAGAGCTGGTAGCTAGCTGCTAGCTAACACGGTTTCACCGGCACGGGCAGCGGACGGCTCTTTGTCTGACAGGGGAAGGCGTGCTCTTTTGTTAGCTTTTCTTTTGTGCACTCGCGAAAGAGGAACTGTTGGGTCAGGATTTTACTGTCACCCTCAGTCCTGGTAGGATTTAGAAAATGCAGGTCGCGAAAAAATACTTTACAGAAGGTTTGATTCAGTTAACGATCCTACTTAGTTTGATTGGAGTTCGAGTAGATATCGACAGTTACTTATCAGGCTACAACTCGCCTTTGGCAGAGATTAACTCGGGTCCTAGCTCAGCCTACATACAGACACCCTTTCACATTTTAAGAGACACCCTTGACGGAAACGGTGTCCATCCAAAATGTCCTGAGTTGGATTATTTCTTTGCGAGTCGTCGCCTGATAGAGGAGGTGAGGAGCCTCGGTTCCCCGCGGTTCCCCACTCAGCTGAACACATGGCTGGTGCATCAAGTTTCTGCCACTGACGAGGCTGACCATGGGCCTCCAACCAGCAATAACACCAACTCCAGCTCAGGGTTGGACTCTCCTGGAGATGAGGGAAGCGATGGCAGTAACCACCTGTCTCTCCGAGGACAAGAGGTGGACCAGACAAGACCTGAACCTGTACGGGGGCCTGGTGGAGCTGGGGCCTGTCTAGAGGCAAGTCCCTGTCTTAACTCTTCAGGAAGGCTGAAGGGTTAGCCTTACGCTGTGGCTTGTTGCTGCTGAACACTTGTATCCCATCAGCCAGAGAGTCACTGCTGTTGAGTTTTCTGCTAAACCAGGAAATGATGTGAAAACTGTTGGTAGTCTGTTAAAACTGCTTTCTGTTTCATGCTGCATGCCTCTCCCACACCTGTTATCCCAGATTGGAAGTGGAACAGCAGCCACTCCTTTTTATTTACAGGTCTGACTCTTGAATGACTAGTTCACCACCTTATGTATCCACACAGTTGGTTACCATGACGATCGTGCATCACAAGAATTCAGCAAACTGTTGTCTGCACCTGTCGCCGCCGCCGTAGGACTTACTGACACTAATCCAACAAAATAACATTTTTTAAAAGTCGTGTTCACAACTGACAAATCTGATTAGTTAACAGCTATTGTGCAACCTGAAAACGACTCCAGTCTCCTAAATTTTACTGTGATTCACGCAAACCTAACTGTCTAAATGTTTATATCACCATCAGTCCAGACCCTGCTGCTGCTGGTTTTTAACAAACAAAGAGCACGAGACCTAGCCGTTGGCTCATCGGTCCTCTAGGTCGGACATAAACTATTTCTTCAAACTGAGGCCATTCAGGAAGATGTTTCCTATGTGTAATTATTTATAACATTTTCATAGACACACACTTATGATGCAGACATCTATTTAAAGTTTTTAGTCAAGCTGTTTACGTTTTTATTTTTCTGATCTTTCATGTAAGAAGCGTCTGTAGCCTTGGAGTCTTTCCCGTGATCAGGTTTTCTAGCCCCGATTAAAAGCAGCCGCTTAGTGGGTGTTTATATCCTAGCAACAGTTGTTAACAATTGTGTAACTGTATCACCTTTTCCTCAGTCTCACCCACCAGCTGCAGGCCTTGGAGGTGAAGAAACAAGCTTCAGATCCACACCCTGATGGCTTATGAAAGCCGTGGTCCGTAATTGATCACAATCCCTCTCGGATCTTCAGACACAAGGCAGAGTTTACATGGATTTTCTCTGAGCTTTATCCATAACATTTAAATGTTGGTGTCACAAGGCTAGCTGAAACCGAAAGTAACCCAGACAGACGCGAACAAGCTCAGGCTGCTGGGGTGGTTTTATTTCTGCCTCCTGCTTTAACACGAATGAACCCAGCCGTTCTTGTTCTGATTGGCTGGGTGAGAATCAAACTCGGCAGATGCAGGAAGAGACTTTAGTCTGCTTCCAGCCTGAAGAATCATGTATCAACTGGTGACCCACATTAGTGGAGGTGTATGGGGCCTGACTGTTACAGCAGCTCGTTAAATAAACCACAATGCTCTGTTTAATTACCTGGAATGCCTGAATTGGATCAGTGAACTTTGCAGGATTTTGGTTGGAAGCTAACGAGGCTTTTCCTTTCTCTCCTTGTCCGTGCTACTTCCTGTGTTGCGTTTTGATATTCCATTGTCCCGACCTCTAAATCTGCCGTTTTTCAATCTTCCAGGAAGGCGATGTTGAAGTTAAAGAGGAGGATGAAGCTGTTCCAGTCACTCAGCTGGCTCACAGTTCCACACTGGAACAAGAGGTACGAGTGTTCACTTATTATTGAAAGTCTCTCATCGCTGTCAGGATCATATTTTTATACCTCAAGGTTACACTCATCAAGTTCTGTTAAGATTGACACGGAGCTGTTTGAATAAAAACACAATAACACAATTATGTGCTGTCAAAACGTTATTTAAAATATTACACAATTCATACCACACCGTCAGCATTTTGTCTACCCAGTAGTATCTCTCTCTCTCTGTCTTTCTCTCTCCCTCCCTAAATATTACAAAACCTGTAGTTACACCCACGCCCAGAAGCTAAAGCACCAGGGGCATCATTTATCAAGCTTGCTTACGCACAAAACGGGGCCGGAAAACTGCGTAAGCAACTTTCCACGCAAACTTTGGGATTCATGAAAGAAAACTTAGCGGAAAAATGTGCACAACTTTAAGCTGACTAAGGACCTTGCTTACGCACATTTTGGACATGGAGAGCACCTGCAGTGCTGCTGTGGAGAAGGATACAATTATGAAATCCTGCAGCATCATCACTTGTACTGCTTCGTTTTCACACAGAACAAGCCCCCCCCCCCCCCCCCCCCCCCCCCCCCCCACGTGCACACACACACACACACACACAGCCTGAAGCGCAGAATACGGAATGCAGAATATCAGCAGGGGGACAGATTGAGACAGAATGTCATGCGTCTGTGACAGTGTGTGTGTCCTGTCACTGTGACCCGACTGATCATGAACCCTGGCTAGTTGTATAAGGGAGATCTCCGTTTGACTGACTGGTTAGCGCACGTGACTTTCACCTGGGAGTCTGGGGATCGAATCCTGATCGGACCATTTTTTTTAATATCCGCCACAGATCTCTCCTAAGAATTCACAACATTGACGGCTTCAGCAGCGCTGTGCCACTCTGTGGATTTTCTCTTATTTGTTTTGCAAAAGCACTTCCTTTCATTTCTCCTCCTCACCCACAAGTACCTGAATTTCTGCCTCTGTGAAATAGCGCTTCCTTGATCTGCGGTCGTGATCGAAATGCTGCAACAAGCCGGCTTATGTATATGCATGAGATCCACAAGGCACTTTGCATTGACTATTTATGGCAGTAAGTGGGCGTGGTGAGGGCGGGATGTGACTAAAATGCAGCTGAGAACCTTTCTAGATAGTTTCTGATTTATGAAGCGGAGATCACAAACCTACTTGGTGTAAGTACTTTTTTTGGCTGAGCTTAAGTACGGTTTTAGTAAGGATTCTATGCAATGTTTGATAAATGAGACCCCTGGTCTGCTCTTTAATGGTTGAGCCTGTTTCTGTGTCCTCTGGAGTATTTAAGGGTTTCTTGTTGTTTTCCAGAGTTTCTTTGAAGGCATCACTGCTCTGTCTAACCCAGTACATCACTATGCCCCTCCCCCTGCCTCGGATATTGACTGGAGCAACTTACTGTCTGTTACAGACCTTGATGTAAGTTTCTGTTTCTTTGATATCTAAAAGCACATTTTGGATAGAAAAGCTTGGAAATCTAAGAGTGATTTTTGTGGAACTTTTCTGGACAATGAAAACTGTTTTTATCTAAAGTGCTCTGTGTGTTTCTTATGCAGGAACTGGACTCTCTCGTTAATGAGCGTCCATCTGAGCTTGATGCAGACATCACCAACGCCATCAGCCAGGATGTCAGTTTGCATGATGCCATGGTAACCGCTGGTGGAACGTTTGGTGTGGGATCTGGAACAGCTGAGACCAGGATAGTCACCCAGCAGAGAAGAACCCTGCTACGGCGGGAATCCTCAGACTCCTCGCTCTCAGATGCATCACCCGGCATGGCTGTGGGCCTCGCGGCGCTCCCGTTTGCCTCTGTGTGTAATCTAACTGGAACTATGATGTCCCAGAGTTCGCTGGGCAGCTGTCTTGATGAGGCCGTGTTTGATCAGATCAATCAGCTTGGCTTAGAAAGCCTGGACGCCATCGACAATCAGCTGATGGACACTCTGAGCTGCATGGACTCTCGTGGCCTCGAGGACTTGGACTCAGACTCTGGGCTGTCCCTAGAAAGCAGCTATGGAGGTCCAGTGTCTCCAGGTTAGCTCAGACCACCGCATCATATTCCTGTTGTCAGAATGTTTGTGATGAACGCTGTCGTTTACGTCTCGTTCCTTCAGGCTCATCTGAGATGTCTTCATCAAGCAGCTCGTACTGCGAGGACGAAGGTGGAGCTACAGGCTACAGCAGTGAGGTGCATCCGTTACCCCCAAAGGGTGTAATGAACCACGCCACCATGCGGTCGCCTGTGGATCTGAGTGAGAACGTGTGGCACGATCACAGCTACTCGTCTCCTGCTTTCCTCAACAAGGCGTCTTTAAAACTGCCCCACAAAACAGAGCCTTTTGGCGACGACGAAGAGCGGGATCTGAGTCGTGATGAGCTGCGAGCCCGTGCCCTGTGCATCCCGTTCTCTGTCCTGCAGATTGTCAACATGCCTGTGGAGGAGTTCATGGAGGTTCTGGACAGCCACGGACTCTCCCCTGAGCAGGTGACTCTGCTGAGGGACATCCGCCGGCGGGGGAAGAACAAACTGGCAGCTCAGAACTGCCGCAAAAGGAAATTAGATGCCATCACCGGTCTTCAGGAGGAGGTGGACATGTTGCAGGCTCGGAGGGAACGACTGCTGAGAGAGAAACAGCTTACAGCTAAGACCATGGGGGCTGTGGGCCAACAGATAAAGCAGTTGACCAGAGATGTTCTGGCTCGGCTCAGGGATGGGTCAGGACAGCCCCTGAGCCCAGACAGATTTACCCTGCAGTGTGGCGCTAACGGGAGGTTTGTGGTTCAGCCCATCAGACGTCCAGCCGTCTCCACATCAGCAGGCAACAAAACAAACAAGAGGAAAAAAGGGAAGAAGCAGTGATGTTTCGTTTCCTGCTGAGACTTGAGCTTTTAGAGGCTTTTTTGATATTCCCGAACTTGACTGACTCTGGGTTTGGGGTTCTTTTTTTGTAGGTGGTGTGTGTGTGTGTGTGTGTGTGTGCGTGCGTGCGTGCGTGTGTGTGTGTGTGCGTGCGTGTTTATTCACCACTGCCATAAGCCTTCACTATCAGAAGCTGCAAAAACAAAACAACACTCTGAACACAAATGAATAATTCGATAGAATATCTGTAAATATTGAGACATTAGTAGTGGGCACACTGGACTTTGTGTTTATTAAAGCTGGCAGCAGAACCAGCCCCTCTCTGGGCCGGGCCTGATAACGTAAAACTATCACCTTTACTGGGTATGGGTCCGAGGGGTTTTGTGTGTAACTTTGCCTTTTTAAGTCTTTTGAGGAGAACTAGGAAGTTGAAGATTATATTTATTCTGGTTTGAAAGGTTTTTGAAGTGTTTTCATTTTGACGAAGACTGTTTCCTTCTCTTTTTTTTTCAAAATGGAAAAGTAAAATTTAAGTAAATCTAATGTTTACAGGGGCGTTTAAGGTAACTGTGTGTAATGTTATTTATTTAGGCTAAAACTGGAAAAAATAATAAAGATTTGTCTTTCTCATAGTTGCCAGGGGTGACATGCCAAATACCAATGATTACAATGAAGAGGCTTTATTTTGTAACGTTGTATTTGGTTCGAAAATAATCCACACACGAATGCTTTAAGACACTATTGATGCAGATTTTAATAACAAATAGATGGTTTTGACTTAAATCCTTCATAGTTCGAGTTTCAGCATGCTATGCTCAGAAATCAGTTTTTGATGATGTTCAGCTAAAAATGAACCAAAGCGGTGGTCCCAGCTTTGTTGAATGTTGTTTTATATGCAGCGTGCTTCTGTAAGGTTTGCTGAGTTAAATAGAACAATTCTAAAACGGTCTCACGCAACTTCTTTTGTTTGATTTCCAGTTTACAGGGATGACTTTCTGTGATTTTTGGCTCCAGTTTCATCTAAAATGGATTTTCTTTCTCAGTGAGGTTGTGTGAGGTATTCTAATCAGTTTTTTTCTTGTTTATAATTGTTTTATAATCTCTTTACTCCTAAAATACACCCAAAATGATACATAAGGTTGTATCTATGTTACAAAGACCCATTCTGGAAAACATAATTTCTCACTTTTCCCATAAAGATGCTTCTAAATGGCACAAAAAGGCAAACTTTACTCATCTGCTGACCCTTTTGTGCTTTACTTAAGTCAGCTGATCTGACATGAATCCCCTCACATCTACTAAAGCACAACCTCACCTAAAAATAACTTTAGAACAGAAGAAATCCCCTGTCATGCAAAATATGTTATCCACTCGCTACACAAACAAGAATGATTGTTGTCTGTTTATATGTTTGGGATTATTAGAGAATGCAATATGACAGGCTGAGTGTTTGATTACACTAGGGCAGGGGTGTCCAATCCTGGTCCTCGAGGGCCGTTATCCAGCACGTTTTTCGTTTTAACCTGCTTCAGCACACCTGATTTCAATCAGCAGGTGATTAACAGGCTTCTGCAGAGCCTGATGAGCTGCTGCACAGGTGATTCAACCAGCTAATCAAGCATTTTGAAGCAGAAAAACCACAAAACCTGCTGGTTACTGGCTCTCCAGGACCAGGATTGGACTCCCCTGCACTAGGGAGTGTATAAACTTAATTGTGATCCAAAGATCATGTTTTCTCTTTGTCCTGGTTTAAACGTTTATTTGTGTGCATTTCACTTTCATACATCTTGTTTTTTCATGCATGAGTCACATTTGTCTGTCTGTTTGCGGTGATTATTGAAAAGATAAATCTGATTGAAGAATACTTGATTTCTTTATTAAAAACATTTAAATAATGTCTTGTTTTGTCTGGCTAACAGGTTATATATACCATTACTGTTATGGTGCTGCGTGCTGGTGAGCATATCAACATTATTTTCCTCACCTGAGCTGAACACCTGTGTTGACCGGCATCATTTCAGGACAGAAGGCAGACAGATTTATTAAAATATGGCTGTAAAGCATATTTAACAAATACTCGTTCAAAATCACAAGCCAGTCATTTACGGTATTCAGTAGAAAGTAAAAGAAATTGTTTCACTCAGTCTGAGAACAATCTAAACAACTTGAGACATCAGGTGCTCAATTTAATCTGAATTCAGCATTAGCATTATGACTTTGGGGTCAATTTGTTAAATTTTTCATTTTTGAACAATCTGAAAAAGAAAATGATTGCTAGTGTTTATGCTTTATTCCTTCCACTACTTTATAGTTAAAAAAATATATAAACGTTTTCATTTACTACCAACGTGTCTCAGATTGCGTTAACTAGCGGCTTGAAGCCTTGGTTCATGAAAAGGGCCCTTCTGGAACACATGGGTCAGCTCGGCTGCAGACGAATCGCTTTTCCTTCTGGGCTTCCGTAGCCACAACTAGTTTTTGGCGCCGCCTTCGTTGTGGGATCGACTTCATCTCAGCGGCGTGGTGCTGAACAACTATAGAAATCCGCGCGCTTTGGGTGAGTGTGCGGAGTTCTTCTCTTTTAAAACAATGTTGAGTATTTCTTTAATTACATCAGGCTACTCTGAGCGTGTTAAAACTCCACCTATACGTTGCTGGTTTTTTGACAAACAGCAGTTTAGTTGTTGACCCAGCAGCGTTAGCATCGCCATTGTTTAGCTATTACTGTAATATGTTAAGCTAGCTGAAAGTAAGGCAAGTAAGGTGTTGTTTTGTGGGGATGTGTTGTAGTTTTACCACAGTTTTTATTTTATCTTTTACAATTCTACTAATTCTGTTGCTCAAATAAAATCCGCAGATGAGACTGTTTAAAATCAAGGAAATTTTAGGTAAGGGGTCAGCGTGTTAGCAACCTTTGTTACGTTTAGCTGCTAAATGCTGAGCTAACTAGCAGGTGGGCCAAATTAGAGTAATGTCCTATGTTAGCGTTGGCTGAGTTATTTGTAGCCTAGCATCCGGGTGGATTTAAGGCCTTCCGAATAAATGCGGCTCGTCTTTTTATCTTTAATAAGCAAAATGGGCAAGAAACAGAATACAAAGCCTAAGAAGGAGACCGAGACCCAGGAGGAGCCTGAAGAATTTGTTGTGGAGAAAGTGTTGGACCAGCGGATCGTCAACGGGAAAGTAGAGTTCTACCTGAAGTGGAAAGGCTTCACAGAGTGAGTTACCCGGGACAATGTCCTGCTCTCTCCGCCTCTAACGCACCGTGGCTGCATGAAGCCTCCCAGCTTTTCCCTTTTAACACGTTTGGGATGTTTTTGGTTTGAACGCTAACCTGTTTTTTTTTTTTTTTTTTTTTTTTTTTTTTTTTTTTTTTTTTTTTTTTGGCTCCCTCAGAGCGGACAACACCTGGGAACCCGAGGATAACCTGGACTGCCCCGAGCTCATTCAGGCCTTTCTGGATTCCCAGAAGAATATAAAGGAGAAGCCGGCTGCAGTGAAGAGGAAGGCCTCCACAGATGATGCAGAAGAGGAACCCAAGAAGAAAGATGTGGTTAGATTATACGTTTTTTATGTCTCTGACCTGCTAGCATGATTCCCTGTAGGTTGTGCAATCAGAATATGGTTTATAACCTGTTTTTGTTTTTATTTGACAGCCTGATAAGCCTCGCGGCTTTGCCAGGAACCTGGAGCCAGAGCGAATCATTGGTGCCACAGACAGCAGCGGGGAGCTGATGTTCTTGATGAAGTGGTGAGTTAGGCAGACTTTACACCCAATTTCAACAAGACTAGTTTCACATTTACCTCGGTTGCTTTGCATGGCCATTAGTGTTTTTTTAGGGAGTCGAACTAAAAGCGGAAAAGGTTTATTACAAACATGTAGAGTATTTAGAAATAAAATCACTTGAATATATATAATTTATTTCTTTGATTTTTAAATAGGCTTTTCTAAGATCTGCTGTTTTATTTGAATTTTTATTTATTTTTTTGTCCCCCAGGAAAGAGTCAGATGAAGCAGACTTGGTCCCTGCTCGTGAGGCCAACACGCGCTGCCCTCAGGTGGTCATATCCTTCTATGAGGAGCGGCTGACGTGGCATTCCTGTCCAGAGGATGAGGCTCAGTAGCCTTTGCCTGGATTCTGCACACCTTTATGTTTTAGAGGTTTTTATTGTGTTCTCTGTTCTGCTTTTTTTTTTTTTCTTCTTTAGCTACTTTAGCTGATTTGAGACAAAATCATTTGTATGGCAGTTGGGGTATTGTAGATTAAAAGTTTGTCAAAGCAGGTGACTGGGTTGGATATAAGATTAGTCAAAAAGCGATAATGTCAGTCCACATTCCAATTTGTTTATTTTTTTTACTTGAGTCTATGTCAACCTTTTTGAGTTCAGTTAAATGTTTTGTTCCTTGATGCAAGTGCCGACGTGTTTGAAATGAACGCTTTGTTTACAGTTTGTAAATATAAAGTTCAAATAAAGGTTTTATGTGGCCTAGTTTTACCCTCTTCATTTGTAGTTTAGGACAAATGCATACAGAAAAAAGAAAACCTAAATGTTGCTTTATTAAAAGTGTCACAGCCAGCTGAGTGGTTCTGTCAGGGTATCAATCCTTGGCCTACATCAGAATGTTATTTTGGCAGCAGCATTCTGATCTCCTTAGAGGAACAGTGGTGATGAGATATTTATCCAAGGAGGACCATGAATGTCCACACCTGTCTGGAGCTCTATCAGCTGCTCATTCTGTTCTGCACTTGGTGTAAATGAGGCTTCAGTCTGCTGGTTCTCAGTAATGGATAGTGATCTGGTTTCTTCTATAACCACTTGTAAAGACACATTATGGAGTTTATTTTAAAAGTAACTGGTCACATGTTAACAGCTAATTCCCTGTCGGAGATGTTAAACTTCCAAAAAAGCCTGGAACAGCTGGCAGGAAGTGTTGATGAATGGAAACATTTAAAGGAGACTAAAATCAGTCCAACCATAGTTTTACCTGTCATTTGATCATTGCATCTCACCTAATGATGCTCACACTAAAAAGGTAGAGATCGAAGACTTGGCTTTATCACCTGTAGTAGACTCATGGATGGTGACGTAACCTAAAACTTCATATTTATGTCCAACCGTGTGGTGATTGGTAATTCAAATCTGAATTCAGGTGTCTATATTGGTGGTTTTTATTGAACGAATGGGGGATAAAGTTACATTGACGTTTCTGACTAAACAACATCCAGTTTCACCCCTCTGGCCTTTACCTACTGATAAAGTAACACAAGATAGGAGACGTCAGCGTAAAGGAGCAGTTATTAGCTGATTTACTTAAAATCTCATCACACCACTTGTGTTCAGATGGGCTCCTGGGCTGGACAGAAATAAACTTTGCTTAGGTAAGATGACTTTCACTTGTTTGTATCTGGGGTCCAGGCTGCAGCATGTTGTTTACAGGAATTTATCATTAATGGCTGACGTCTTGTACAAGCTGAGATCAGAAAATTAAAGTTTCTTTGATTTGACTAACAACAAAAACTTCTGTGTTAAAATGATCAATATTTTCTGTGCCGACGCTGGATGTAAAGATCCCCTTTTAACTAGTGTTCTCTATAAGATTCCACATAAACCCTCATGCTTGGCTCAGGATAAGATAAGAACAACTTTATTTATCCCGAGGGAAATTCTTGTGTCATGTACATGCTCAAAGCAGTCGGAGACAAAGGAACAGGTGAAACAGAAATATGATATACAATATATACATTAAAAAAATGATCTACAGTAGTACCATGTAGGATAGTGCAAAACAAACAATCGCATATCTCAATTAAATACATGACTGCATCCTTGTGAATAAGCAATTAAGCCGTCGGTGCAGGCGATTCACAAAAGTGATTATTGTGATCCTCCCATAAAACAACTTTATTAATTACCATTTTAAATTCTAATGAGGTTGTGTGTGTGTGTATATATATATATATATATATATATATATATATATATATACATACATATATCATCATTGTCGTCTTCCTCCGCTCATCCGGGTCGCGGGGACAGCATCCCAACTAGGGAGTTCCAGACTGTCCTCTCCCCAGCCACCTCCACCAGCTCCTCCGGCAGGACCCCAAGGCGTTCCCGGACCAGATTGGAGATGTAACCTCTCCAACGTGTCCTGGGTCAACCCGGGGGCCTTCTGCCGGCAGGACATGCCCGAAACACCTCCCCAGGGAGGCGTCCAGGAGGCATCCTGACCAGATGCCCAAACCACCTCAACTGACTCCTTTCGATCCGGAGGAGCAGCGGTTCTACTCCGAGTCCCTCCCAAATGTCCGAGCTCCTCACCCTATCTCTAAGGCTGAGCCCGGCCACCCTACAGAGGAAACTCATTTCGGCCGCTTGTATTCGCGATCTCGTTCTTTCGGTCATTACCCAAAGCTCATGACCATAGATGAGGACTGGGACGTAGATCAACCGGTAAATCGAGAGACTGGCTTTCTGGCTCAGCTCCCTCTTCACCATGACAAACCGGCTCAGCGTCCGCATCACTGCAGACACAGAACCAATCCGCCTGTTGATCTCCCGATCCCTCCTACCCTCGCTCGTGAACAAGACCCCGAGATTCTTAAACTCCTCCACTTGAGGTAGTACCTCTCCCGACCCGGAGTTGGCAAGCCACCCTTTCCCGGTCGAGAACCAGGTCTCAGATTTGGAGGTGCTGATCCTCATCCCAGCCGCTTCACACTCAGCCGCGAACCTACCCAGCAAGAGCTGAAGGTCAGAGCTGGATAAAGCTAGGAGGACCACATCATCCGCAAAAAGCAGAGACGAGATTCTCCTGCCACCAAACTCGACACACTCCACACCACGGCTGCGCCTAGAAATTCTGTCCATAAAGGTAATGAACAGAACCGGTGACAAAGGGCAGCCCTGGCGGAGTCCAACCCTCACCGGGAACAGGTCCGACTTACTACCGGCTATGCGGACCAAACTCACGCTCCTCTGGTAAAGGGACTGAATGGCCCTTAACAACAGGCCACCCACCCCATACTCCTGGAGCGTCCCCCACTGGGTGCCTCTGGGGACACGGTCATAAGCCTTCTCCAAATCCACAAAACACATGTGGATTGGTTGGGCAAACTCCCATACCCCCTCCATCACCCTTGCAAGGGTATAGAGCTGGTCCACAGTTCCACGGCCAGGACGAAAACCAAATTGCTCCTCCTCAATCTGAGATTCAACTATCGATCGGACCCTCCTCTCCAGTACCTTGGAGTAGACCTTTCCAGGGAGGTTGAGGAGTGTGATCCCCCCTATAGTTGGAACACACCCTCCGGTCACCCTTCTTAAAGATGGGGACCACCACCCCGGTCTGCCACTCCACAGGAACTGCCCCCGATGACCATGCAATGTTGTAGAGACGTGTCAACCATGACAGCCCTACCACATCCATAGCCTTGATATACCCAGGACGAATCTCATCCATCCCTGGGGCTCCGCCGCTGTGTAGTTGTTTGACTACCTCAGCAACTTCTGCCCCAGAGATTGGACAGTCCGTTCCCAGGTCTCCTGGTTCTGGCTCCTCCTCGGAATGTGCGTAGGAGAGATTAAGGAGCTCCTCGAAGTATTCCTTCCACCACCCGACTATAGTCCCAGTTGACGTCAGCAGCTCCCCATCCCAACTGTAAACAGTGTGAGTGAGTTGCTGCCTCCCTCTCCTGAGGCGCTGGACAGTTTGCCAGAACCTCTTTGGTGCCGATCGATAGTCTTTCTCCATGGCCTCACCAAACTCCTCCCACGCCCGACATTTTGCCTCGGCAACTGCCACTGCTGCACCCCGCTTGGCTATCTGGTATCCGTCTGCTGCCTCCGGAGACCCACAGACCAGCCACGCCCTGTAGGCCTCCTTCTTCAGCCTGACGGCTCCCCGAACCTCTGGTGTCCACCAGCGGGTACGGGGGTTGCCACCATGACTGGCACCGGCCACTTTGCGACCACAGCTAGAAACAGCCGCCTCAACAATCGCAGAGTGGAACAAGGCCCACTCGGAGTCGATGTCCCCCACTGCTCTCGGGACGCGGTCAAAGCTCTGCCTGAAGTGGGAGTTGAAGACTGTCTTGACAGGTTCTTCTGCCAAGCGTTCCCAGCAGACCCTCACTATGCGTTTGGGTCTGCCAGGTTTACGCAGAAAAAAAGTTTTCTACCTATATTACATCATTTATGAACTCTTTTGAGCAGAGAGCGGCACAGCGCTGCGTTGTTGCGCAGCGATCCAGGCTGCTGCTTCCAGCCTACGGTCAATTCTCAAAGTGGCGCAACCAAAAAACTATAATTAACACACGATCGTTCATGTCTGCACATGTTCTCTATTTTCTGTCTTATTTGCGCCTGAAGCGCTCTGCTACTGCGGAGCTCATCACCCGTGCTGCGGTGATTTTTACCTCACTGACGCAGCATCGAAACGCGCTCTCCGCTTTGCGGTCAGGAGATCCCTTTGATCTGCTCAAAAGTAACTGATGAGGAGAAAAAGTAAGAATCCAGGCAGCAGTTTTTCTGTAGAGTTCAGAAGAGATGCAGGAAGATGAGAGACAGACAGGACAGGAAATAGTTAAATAAAAACAAGAAAACAAAACAAAGTGTTGAAAAGTAAAATATAGGTAGATTTATCTCCACTACACGTTTTTACCAGTATAAAACAATAAGTTATACACATGCAATATTTATACATCTGATACAATTCAGATCACCTTCAACACTCAGTCACACACCCAGGGCCATTTCAAGACATTTTGGGGGCCAAGGCAAAATCTCCCCCCCCCCCCCCCCCCCCCCCCCCCCCCCCCCCCCCCATAGCTGGGCTCCCCAGAAGCCTCTGTGTAATTCATGCCCTCTCCAGGAGTATTAGTTATACAGTGTTTGTAAAAGCCCCTCACACATCACTGGCATGTTCTAATATTATCAGATAAAAAACTAAATTTTCAGACATGCTGTCTCATCTGCTTCTTTTCTAAACTTGCAAAAAGTAACAAAACCATTTGAAAGCCACTATTTGTGGATTCTCTGAAAGTTTCCATGGAGTGTGTGACAACTTATTTTATCATTGATCCTATCGTCTAATCTCACAATTGAAACAAGCATCCTTAATAATCTGTGCACAGGAAGCTTACCGATGCTGTAGTAAAACAAAAGGTATAATAATTTCTTATTAATAAAACCTTGTTGCAGCACTAAAGCAGAAAAATGAGATTTTCCATTAAATATGCAAAATATTTACATATGAATGGTTTTAGAGCCTTTTATTGGCAGAATCTGATATTAATTTAGTTCTTACAAAAAATGGGTCCCAACGTGGTTTGTGTGGCGTTGCCATAGTGTGACGTCATAGGCACAGTTTCCCTCTCCTCTTGTTTGGAAATGGAAAAAATGATCACCCTATATTAAACAAACTGTCCACCCGGGCTTTTGCACTGCACAGAGATGCTTCGCTGCCTATGACTTTGAACATCAGT